ATGTATGTATGTATGTATGTATGTATGTATGTATGTATGTATGTATGTATGTATGTATGTATGTATGTATGTTTGTATGTATGATGTATGTATGTGTGTATGTATGTATGTATGTATGTATGTATGTATGTATGTATGTTTGTATGTATGATGTATGTATGTGTGTATGTATGTATGTATGTATGTATGTATGTGTGTGCACGTGAAACAGTGAGTAAGTGCGAGTCTGCGTGTGTGTACCAAAGTGGCACAGTGTCTGCAGCAGTGCACACGCGCACACCGCCAGCTGCTTGAACAAGGGAAGCACATCACCTCTTGAAGGCCTTGAGCCCAATGGGCTGTTGAAGCGCCACCGTGCCGCTCCGCGCTTGGATGCCACTGGATTCAAAGTGATTGAGGAGCAAGTGCATCTCCGGGAACTGTACGCCGCAACAGGACACGCCCGTTTTGTCCACCTTGATGTCGTACTGCAGGACATGGGCGTGGTCGTTGACATACAGCTGCATCGCGCTGCTGTCTGGGGACCGGCGAACCAGGTACGACCCGTGCAGGTGCTCAGAGGCGGTGCTGATGCAGTGATCGTGTCCACAAAGCCCAGCATCCCACGCCTCCCTGGGCATTTGCATCGAGTGGCCTTGACCCATGACTGCCGGTGTTGTGCTGCACGCGCGGGCGTGTGGATCCGATCAGGCAAGCTGTACCCCTCGCTTCTCTTGCCGTGTACACAAGATACCAACCGATTGGCGCTGATGGCGCTGTCAAGCAAGCGGGTGGCTGCAAGCAAGCACGCAAGTCAACAAAGTGAGGACCACACACCACACGTTCACCACACACACGGACGGCAGGTGAGAGTGATGCCAAGTTGTTTTGTGTTGTGCTGTTGTGGTCCTGTTTTGTTTGTTTGTGTGCGTGGTTTGTGTGCGAGGGTGGGAATCCCCTATATTTTTATTGTGGGGAGACGCAGGTTTGATGCGAGCGTGAGCAGCATCGAAAAAATGATCGCCACCAGCGTGCTTGTCAGCATGATCACGTTGAACGGCATCGACATGTCAGGCACAGCTGGATGAACATGCAGTGAAGCGCGTGAGTGAGTGTGCGTGAGCGAGTGAGTGAGTGAGTGTGTGTGTGCGTGAGCGAGTGAGTGAGTGTGTGTGTGTGTGCGTGTGTGTGAGTGAGCGAGTGCGTGTGTGAGTGCGTGAGTGTGCGAGTGAGTGTGTGTGAGTGTGTGAGTGAGCGAGCGAGTGAGTGAGAATGCGTGAGTGTGTTTGTGCATGTCTTTGTGCCTTGTGTTGGTAGTTGTATGACGCGCCAGGAAAACAGAAAGCCAAACGCCCGCACTACCCTTTGGCTTCAGTACATACCCATGTGAATTGCCAGTGGATTGGAGATGAAGCGAGACGTGTGGTTCTCAAACACGTCCGCCAGCACAATCGTAGGCAACACCTAACGCGCGTGTGTATGTATACATGAGTGCACGAGGGGAAAAACCCATCAAAGAAACACACCATGTGTGTGTGTGTGTGTGTGTGTGTGTCGAGTGCTGCTGCATTGCACACGGCGCACCTCAAGCCCGCGGAAGGGATCGGACGGATAATCGGAACTGCGCAGAAATCCGTGGTGAAAGGCAATCCTGGCATGCACACACGGAACCAGAACACTCGATCAGAAAACACGAAGGTGCCACCTTGTCTCCAATTGCACGCACGCACACACACACACACACACACACACAACGTGTAGAGCTGCAGCAGGTTGTACCTCAACTCGAGTGTTGTGTGCGCAGGAACGGTTGTCCACGTCGTGAGATGCGCCGGGCGCACGCGCGCCTTTGCCGGCACAAACGTGTCATTGTACGCCTGAATAAATTCGTATGCGCATGTGTGTGAAAAAGAAAAAAAAAAGCACCCGCTCATACTTCGCAAATTCACACACACACAAACACACACACACACACACACACACACACACACACACACACACACACACACACACACACACACACACACAC